GGATCCCCTCCTGTTTTACAGAGGAAAAATTAGACTAGGTAGCTGTCCAAGGTCCACACAGCTGATAAGTGATAGAGCCAGGCTGAAACCCAGACTATTTTGACTCAAAGCCCAGGCTTTTTCACCTGACCAGCTGCTAGTGACTGTGATTCCTGCCTCCCTTTTGGATTCTCTCTTTTTCACGTCTTTTGCCTTTAGGATGCTTTCTCACTGAGTAATGTATCTAAAGAGTTCCAAGTCCTAGAAATGACCACGCTTCCCCTCCAAAGCAGGGAAATCACTCTAAGGAATAAATGCCTGATAGTTTAATTGATCTTCCTGGGGCATTTGCATTTTAAATGAGATATGTATTAACCTAAATGAAGCCTAATGGAGGTTACTTTTGAGGGGGTTGTTCTTCCAGGCCCTTTGCCCAGTGCAGGGTACCTGGCTCCTCTAAGGATCCAACCATGTGTATTGGCCCAGCATTTTCTGAGGGTCCAAAAACCAGTATCTCTGCAGAGGGCACCCAGCACAAATGGCTCAAGTAAATAGACAATGTACCATGGGCAGCTTTATCCTTTAGGAGTTTCTCCTCACTGGGGCCTGGGTCAAGTCTTTTGGCCCGGTGGATTGATAAAACCCCAATGGAGGTGGGAGGTGGGCCAACAGAAAGGAAAACCCTGTCTGTGACCACTGGTGACAAGCAGAGGTGGAAAGAGAGGAAAGAAGAAGCCAGTATTCCACCCACCAGGAATAGGAGGGAAAAGCAGGAGGGCTCTAGGTCTGGGTCACATTATGAATGACCTGGCCCAAATTTCTATTTGGATCAAATCATCACTCTGCCCATCATTCTCTGTTTCTTTCCTGTATCATCAACTTATCTCTCTACTGAATCATAGTCACCAGCATATAAATGTGCTGTAATATCTCCCATCTAAAAACCCCAAAACTTATTTGACTCCACACTGCCACCCAAGATTGCCTCATTTGTCTGTTTGCTTTTACAGCAAAACTAAAAAGGTTTACCTTAATCACTAACACCAACTTCTTTTCTTATTCTCTCTTTCCACTCTAATCAGACCCTCGAACCTGCTCCTCCTCCTATCAAAACCATCCCTGACTTCCTTGTTGCTCTATAGTCAACTCTCAGGGCTCATCTTGACTAACCTTTCAGGAGCAGCACCCTCCTTTTTGAAATATTCTGGAACACCATTCCTACCTCCTGGGCTGCTCACCTTCTCAGTCTCCTTATCTGGTTCCACCTTGTGTACCAATTTCTAAACTAAATTGGGACTGTACCCCAATTCAACTGGGAGCCTCTTCTCAGTCTACACTCACTCCTTTGGTGAACTCTCTAGTCTCATGCTCCCTAATTTATATCTCTGGACCCTCTGAACTTGCACATCTAACAATTGAATAAGCATCTCAAAAAGGCACATGCTCAAAATTTGAACTCCTGATTCTTCTCTTGTCCTAACCTGCTCTGTCATCAGTCATCCTCATCTCAGTAAATGGCAACTCCATCCTTCCTTGAGTTGCTCAGGAAAAAAAAAAAATTAAAGTTATCTTTGACTCATCTGTTTTCTTATACTGAACTTCAAATCAATCAACAAATCCTGTCCTTCTGTCTTCAAAATATATGCAGAATCTAATCCATTCTTACCACCCTACTGCTACCATGGTAGTTCGTGCTTATGGGCCAGAAGGTGCACAGTAGTGGCTGTGCGTGTGCGTGTGCGTGTGTGTGTGTGCGTGTGCGTGTGTGTGCGTGTGTGTGTGTGTGCACGCACGCGCTCTTCTACCCTTGCCCCCTCTCCACACACACAGTCTATTCTCCACACAGCAACCAGAGCTATTTTTTCTAAAACAAAAGTCAGATTATTTAATTTCCCTGCTCAGAATTTTCCAGTGAGTCCCCATCTCACTCAAAGAAAAAGGCAAAATCTTAACAGTAGCCTACAAAGCCCTTTATGATCTGACCCTGCTCCTAGCTTGTCCTCTCATTGCATTGCCTACTGCTCTCTCCCAGGTGGGCTCCTCCCTCTCACCACCCTGGCTTCCTTGCTAATTCCTTGGACATATTAAACAAGCTCCTGTCTCAGGATCCTTGCACTTGCTTTTCTGCCTTCTGAAATGCCCTTCCTCAGATATCTCCATAGGTTTGTTTTCTTACTCCCCTCCCCCTATAAAATGAAATCCCCCTATCTCCTTTACCCTGCGCTATTTTTCTTTGTATCACTTTTGATCCCTGAGAATTTTAAAGGCTTAAAGTATAAAATCAGTAGCAAATCGGCCCTCTGGAATAGAAACTGGGGAGAGAAATGTCTGAGGGGAGAGGGGCTCTACCTTAATCTTGGCGTCTGGGGAGGAAGCAGGGGAACAGGGCTGAGTTTGTGGGCAGAGGAGCCTACCTTCCTCTGAAGCACCAGCAGGCGGCACTACCTCCTTGGTCTGAGAAGGCATCAGCCTCTGGTAGAGAAGCGGACAAAGTTCTGGCTAAGGTAATCCCACCCACTCTTGGAGCTAACTGCTGACTGTGGGGGCTTCCTGGGAGTCCAGCGCCTTTGGGCTTTAGACCCTTTGGTGCCTCCAGGTGGTGGCCTACGGTGCTGCAGCAGAAGGCGTGAGAGGAGGAGGGTGGGCAGCACAGCTGAGCTCACCACTGCGGGCGCATCCATCCCTTCTGGGCCTATAATTTGGGTTCCCCGGGCCTGGCCGCCCCTATCAGCGGCTCAGCAATAGATGACTCACTCGGGACCCTGGGCCAAGGCAAACACAGCGGGAGGAGGAGAAGGAGGTTTCCGAGGCTGCTCTTGGCTTTAGCCACCGCCTCAGTTGCTGGATCCCCCAATCTCCAGAGGCCCCCATTCTTTTTTGACCCCCGCCCTCCAGGGCCCCAGTGTCCTTCCCAGATAGATACTGCTACACCCTCCATCCCTCTGATGGGAAGGCAGCGCTCCACTCTTCTCATCAAGGAGCAGGGGGATCAGCTTGTTCCCACTCCCTCCCTGAAGTAATGACAGCCCCTCACTTTCCCCTCTAGTCATGGCCCCAACCCTTGTCAAGGTCTCTCTGGTTCCCGCCCCTCCCCTTTCCTGGAGCTGGCCGCGTGCTTGGGATATTAGGCAATGGGTGTGTACCCACAGCCCTCTGCAGGCCCCGCCTGCCCCACCACCCTCAGCGGCCTGCCTGCGGGTCAGTGCTCAGGCCAGCCGGTCGGGCTGAGGGCACTGGGGGCCAGCTCAGGCCACCCAGTCTGCCTGCCTTTGGCCTCCTGTCCCAGAGCTAAGCTTCTGCAGGAAGAGAGACCAGCTGTATGGGTTTTTGGATTTGGGAAAAGCTAACTTGTGGAGCCCTGGAGTCACTGAGAAGTTGCAATTGATGGTTCTGACCCTGGCTCTTCCTTGGCATCTGACTATATTGCAGCCTGACAAGGACCGATCCAGAAGATACAATCCAAAACCTGAGGGGGACTCAGAGACACATGCCCAAGTGATCCCCGTGGGAGAGAGGGGACTAGGAAACCTCATTCCCCTCCCCCAGGGACCTGTGTGGATTTCTAGGCTGACATGCCGGAAGAAGGATGAAGACACTGGCAAGAATCACCAAATCCAGGTGTAAGGATGAAAGCTACTGGGATAGGTCTTGTGGATTCTGATGGCCTCAAAAGCCACACATGGTTTGGTTCTTGGCCCCAAAACAGGAAGGAGAGGCAAGAGCTCTAGGGTACCTTCTCCCCGCACCTCCCTCAGGTGGGAATGCAGAAAAAAAGCAACCCTCTGTGGTCACAGCTGTCCATTGTCAGGAACCATAGCGTTCATACCTCTCCAGCTTGCTCAGGGCCTGGCACATAACGGTGATCAATAAATATCCCACCAGATGAAAATCTCTGATCTCTCCAGACTGCTCTGCCTCCTAGACAGCAGTGTCCCCCGCAGCACGGGCCAGGACTCCAGAAGCGCAGGCTGGAGGCTGGCTGCTCAGCAGAGCTGCATGGCCACCACCAAGGAAGAGATGACTGTGGATGTGGGTTTCAGCCCCGTGGCTCTGCTTCCCTGGGGGGCCTGTCTCTGAGTCAGCGTGCCAGCCTTGGGATCGAAGGGCCAGCCGTTCTTTGGGCTGCGGTCTGGCAGGGGCAGGGGGGTGGCTGGGAAGCCTGGGGCCCCTCTCTGGCAAAAATAGCCCACAGTGGTTAGAGCTGGGAGGGTGAGTCAGGCAAGAGTGCAGTGGCACCTAACCCCTTCACTGCCACTGGAGCTCCCTAAGGTAACTTGCTTTGACTGTGCACCCCAAGATCAGGCTCTTTCCCTGGCTGTCCTAGGGCTGGGCTAAGATTGGGGTCCTTAGGTCCTCCTCATTTCATGTGAAGCAAGTCTATGAGCCTGGAGCAGGAATATGGGCCACCCAAAGTGCAGACCTGGGATCCTGGGGAGGGCAGAAGACCTCTGGACAAGGATGCCTGCAAGCTAAGGGAAGCATGGGGCAGGCTGAAGATCTTTGGGGCTACAGGAGCCTCTGCTAGGACCAAACTCTGAGACCAAAGCTGACCCCTCCCAAGGGGCAGGCGCAAAGCTCAAAGCTCGGAGGTGGGTGGAAGCCCAGCCACCCAGAAGGGAGCTTCTCCCGCTGGCTCCCAGTGCCCTGTGGTGCGCTCTTGCTGAGGGCTCTACAGGAAACTGTCGGACGAGAGAAGTTAGTTCTCAGTTCTGTCTTCGTCTTGTCAAAGGCATCCTCCAGCCATCCAGCGCTCTGTGGGGAAACTGAGGCAAAGAAAAATGACCGCTTGGAACCTGGGTCCCGGCTCCCTAGTCTGGGGGGTCAGCGCAACCTCCTTGCAGCTTTGGCGACTCCAGAGCAGGTGAGAGGAACTCTGGCCACCTCCCCCTTCAGTGGGGCCGAGCCTGAACCCGGGCGTCGGGGGAGAGGGTGTGTGTGTAGGCTGGGAGGAGGGGGAGCGACTGCGCTCCCCGGGTCAAGGCGGGGGGGGGGGGGTGCCAGGAGCGGGGTGGGGATGCCCCAGGCTCGGGGAGGGGCCGCAGCTCTGTCAGCCGTGGCAGAGCCGCCCCGGGAGCTCCGCTCGAGTAGAGCCAGAGTCCCCAGCTCCTCGCTCGCCCGCTTCGCTCGCTTTCTCGATCACTCCCTCCCTTCCTCCCTCCTTTCTTCCCGGCGGCCGCGGCGGCGCTGGGAAAGCGGCGAAGAGGAGTGGCCCTGCCCTGGAAGAATGCGGCTCCGCCGAGGGGGCAGAACCCGACGCGTTCTCCCCACGGTTTGAGCAGCCCGAGTCCCGGCGCCCGGACCCCGCCGGCCGTGGACCCCGCACCAGAGCCGCTGGAGGTAATCGGAACCGGGAGAGCGGGGAGGGCGGGGAGGGCAGGGACGCGCACGCCGGGACCAGACAGGCACACGGGTAGTCAGACACGCATCCGCCTACGGGGGCGCAGAGATGCAGAGAGAGCCAGAGATATTGCTGGAGATAAAGAGCCGGCGAATAAAGGAGTGCCCCCAGATGTGAACGCGATAGCGCAGGGGTGGGGACTGAGGTTGGGACCTGTGAGGACCGGAGGGGCGACGCTGGGAGGCAGGAACCAGTCGTTGTGGCGGACGAGGAAGGGGACTCAGCCTGCACCGCGCGCTCCCTTTCGGGCCGGAACAGGTCCCCTGCCCGTCGCGGCCGCACCTGGAGGCTCCCTTCCTTCCCCGCTGGTGGAGCCGGTGGGGACCCCGTTCCTCCGCCCTTCTTACGGAGCTGCCTGCCCTCGACGGCACCTGGAGGCGACCCTCTCCCCACCCCCACCCGCCGGCTGTAGGTGGCGGGGAACCCCCTCCCAATCCCGCCTCCCAGCTCGGAGGGCGTGAGGCTGCGTTGGGCGGGAGAAGCGAGTCGTGGGGCCCTGTAAGAGGGAGCGGTGGGCGAGGTGGTGGAGCGGTGTCTGTGAGTCTGTGTGTCTGCATGTGACTGTGCGTGTGTCCGTGCGCCTGGCATGGTGTGTGGGTGGGTCCGCTCCTGGGCGCTCGAGTAAGTCCCAGCTGCGAAGCCTGGACTCTTCCTCCAGGGCCCAGAGCCTGGGACTCAGGGGGTGATTCTCACTGTGTCGTTTGGGGAGAGACGAGAAGGGCCAGTGGGGTGACACTGGTGAGTGAAGAGCTCCAAGTTGGGCATGGGGGGGGGGGCAGGCGAGCCACCCTACCCCAGAGCCCTCCTTGAGCCCCCCTGTCCCGCAGGCCCTGATCGGTCTGCCCACCGGGGCCTTCGGGCCGGGGCTTCGACATGCGGGAGCAGCCCCGGCCGCGGCCTCCGCCCTGGGGCCTCGCGGGCCTTCTGGTCCTGGCGCTCTGCAGTCGGTGAGCACCCAGCCCCACCCACCCACCTCACGGCCGGGTGGAAGCGCCGCCCCGGCGGGCGGGAGGGCTCGGAGGGGGCGCGAGGCCTGGACCACAGACCCAGCGACGCCTTCTCGCTTCCCAGGGCCCTGAGCAATGAGATCCTGGGCCTGAAGCTGCCCGGCGAGCCGCCGCTGACCGCCAACACCGTGTGCTTGACGCTGTCCGGCCTGAGCAAGCGGCAGCTGGGGCTGTGCCTGCGCAGCCCCGACGTGACCGCGTCCGCGCTGCAGGGTCTGCACATCGCGGTCCACGAGTGTCAGCACCAGCTGCGCGACCAGCGCTGGAACTGCTCGGCGCTCGAGGGCGGCGGCCGCCTGCCGCACCACAGCGCCATCCTCAAGCGCGGTGAGCCCGGCGGGGCCGGGGCTGGGGGGCCGGCCCAGGCGAGAGGAGGCGGGAAGGGACCGGTTCACGACTCCGGGAGGGGCCTCTCCGGGAATTCCCCCGACAGCCTCGAGGAGCTGGGTTTGGCCACCCGTCTGGGCCCCTGCGCTTCTGGCTTCCACCTGCTCGCTGCGGGCAAGGCAGCTGGGTCCGTGTTCCCCTACTCTAAGCACCCCCCCTTCCTGCTTACACCCTGCTGGCTCTGGGTTGCACCTGTGAGCGAGATGCCCCCAGCCCTGGAAGCTTCAAACGCCCCCCATTCACTCCCCCAATTTCACCCTCCTCCCTCTCAGAGGGACAAGCCCAGGCTGGTGTCCCCAGAACCTCAGTGGAGGAGGGGGGCCGCCCCCAACCGTTTAAGGGTTAAATCTACTCTCCTAATTGCTGGGGTTCCCAGGAGCTGAGACTGGGAACAAAGACCCTGATGGCTTTGAAGCACGGGAGCAGCCCCCCTCCTCTGTGCTGTGGGGGCCCCAGGTGGCTCTCACCTGAGCAGGTGAGGCACTGGCTGGAGGGGTGGAGAACAGGTCACTGCCGGCCTGATCTGGGAGCATCAATACCTCTTGCCAGGCCATGCTCCAGTTTACTCCTAGGAAGAGTAAAGATCCACCCTGGGCTCAGCTTAAGGCTGGGGGCAGTACTTCGGGGACTACAGGGTTAATAGGCAGCTGCCATCTGCGGGGGAATTCCCAAGACGTGTGCAAACAGCTTCACCCCTGGAGGGTTGGGGTTGGGGGGGACCAGGAGGTTGAGCTAGGAGCCCTGCATCCTGAGGTGGGCAAGGCCTGGCCCCTAAGGAGCTGCTGTCTCTCAGGGTTCCAGGGAGCCCCTGCCTAAAAGGAAGTGAGGGATCCCCTCTTTCTTCACAGGACTTGTAGGGGGAAGGCTTTGATGCCCAAATGAGAAGCATATCTACCTGAGGCTGGGGAAGGCTTGTCATCCTGAGCCTCTGTGACCCCAAAAACAAAGGAGCCAACGTTTTAAGAGGGCCCTAGGGAAAATCACCCCCACCCCTCTCCCCTTCCCAGGATTTTATAGAGTAATAGCAGGTTAGGATAAACTTAAAGAGCGGCCTTACGAACAAATATAAAACTAGAAACTGGAAAGGTGAAGGACAGCTCCACAGCTACAGTGCTTTGGAGGTTTGGGGGTGGTGGAGGGTAGGTTGGTTAAAATGCTGATTAAAATAACCCCGAAGAAGAAAAAAAAAAACAACGAACCCCTATTGCCTGTGCTTCTACCCCACCCAAGCTCCCTGCAGGGCTGGGGAATTTCTAAGGCTTTCAGATGTAGAACTCAGTGAACACATCTTCAAAGACCACAGGGACTCCCTTTTAGTCGTCTCCCAACCCCAGGGGTCTTTCCCTCTAGGCTAGCTCTTTCATCCACACCTGAAAATCCCAGGTGTGGGACCTCAGAGATCATCTCAACCCATCATCCCCTCAATTTATAGATGAGGAAACCGAGGCTCTGCGCTTTCAGTTCCCCCTTTCCTCCCAGGACTTTCCCCCAAATTACTCAGCTAGTAACGGCAGGGTCAGGATTCAGTTAGGAATTTCTGGAATTGGAGGATGGCTGTTTATTTCCCTCTGCCTCCCTGCTCTCAGCTGCCTGTCAACCTTACCCTCACCATCACACCCTTTCATCCCCAGGTTTCCGTGAGAGTGCCTTTTCCTTCTCCATGCTGGCTGCTGGCGTCATGCACGCGGTAGCCACAGCCTGCAGCCTGGGCAAGCTGGTGAGCTGTGGCTGTGGCTGGAAGGGGAGTGGTGAGCAGGATCGGCTGAGGGCCAAACTGCTGCAGCTGCAGGCGCTGTCCCGGGGCAAAAGTTTTCCCCACTCCCTGCCTAGCCCGGGTCCTGGCCCAGGCCCCAGCCCCAGCCCCAGCCCCCAGGACACATGGGAATGGGGTGGCTGTAACCATGACATGGACTTTGGAGAGAAGTTCTCTCGGGATTTCTTGGATTCCAGGGAAGCTCCCCGGGACATCCAGGCACGGATGCGAATCCACAACAACAGGGTGGGGCGACAGGTACGTGTGCAAATTGTCCTGGGTCTCTCTCGCTTTCTGGCCTGGCCCCAGTTTGAGAGGCACAGCAGAGTGAGAGGATGAGATATGATGGGTGATTGTCACCATCCGGGTAGCCCTGAGCAAGTGACTTAACCTCCGTTTTGCATATGTAAAAAGAGTCTAAGGATACCTGCCTTACGATGTCATTAAGAGAGAGCTAGTAAATAGAGCCCCCAGCAGAGTCCCTCATCCTTGACAGGTGCTTGTTACATGATAGCTATTATTACAGCTTTCCTCCCTATGGAATTTCGGGGTGCTCTGGGCCCAGACTCCCCATTTTAGCAGCGCTCACTCTGGAAAGGGCACTGGAGTGGGAGCCAGGACAACTGGAGTTATCCAGCTAGTGACTGGAGATAGGCAAATCCCTCTGTTCTGGCTTCAGTTCTCCAACCATACAATGAGGGAGTTGGGCTACCAACCAGCTTCTTTTTCTTCTGATATTCCAAATGATTTGGTCATTCTTGCCTCTATTTGTCCCTCCTTTTGCCTCCCTGTTCCCTCCCCTCTTCTGTGTCTCTGTGCTTTATCCATTTACTGCCCTTTCCTTCACCTCTCCCCCCTCTGATGCTCTAGGTGGTAACGGAAAACCTAAAACGGAAATGCAAGTGTCATGGCACTTCAGGCAGCTGCCAGTTCAAGACCTGCTGGAGGGCAGCCCCGGAATTCCGGGCAGTGGGGGCAGCATTAAAGGAGCGACTGGGCAGGGCCATCTTCATTGATACCCACAACCGCAACTCCGGAGCCTTCCAGCCCCGCCTGCGTCACCGCCGCCTCTCAGGAGAGCTGGTTTACTTTGAGAAGTCTCCTGATTTCTGTGAGCGAGACCCCACTGTGGGCTCCCCAGGCACGCGTGGCCGGGCCTGCAACAAGACCAGCCGCCTGCTGGATGGCTGCGGCAGCCTGTGTTGTGGCCGTGGGCACAACGTGCTTCGGCAGACAAGAGTTGAGCGCTGTCATTGCCGTTTCCACTGGTGCTGCTATGTGCTGTGTGATGAGTGCAAGGTCACAGAGTGGGTCAACGTGTGTAAGTGAGGGTCAGCCTCACAGCAGGCTGGGGAAGGGGAGGGGCGCCTTTTCAGCCTTTTGCTCTAATTTCTGTCCAAGGCCAATCTTGGCCCCTGGAAGTTCAAAGTATCTACCTGGAAACACCTTTGGGAGTGGGGTGTGGGTCAGGTGGAATCTGTCATGTGTGGCCTTCTCCTCCACAGTTGAGGGGCCTTGGAGTGGGGTGGGGGAGATGTCACCCCTCTTTTACTCCTTAAACACCTGGATGGGCTAAGATGAAATGCACTGTATTGTCCCCCTCTCCCCAACCCTGGGCCTTTAACTCAGATTCATACTCCTTTCAACTGGGGAGTCCCTATAGTTTGACCACTCTTCTCCTTTGAAGGCTAGCCCCAGGCATTGTGTAGAGCCATGAGACCTATATCCAGAAAGAAACCACTCACTCTCTTTGCTGTTCATGAACTCCTCTACTGCGGCCTGAGCCCCCTCTTGTGGGGTAATGGGAAACGGTGGTAGAGAGGTTTTTCTTAGGGATGGAACAGAGTGCTGAGGGGGGATGCTCTCCCCTAAGTTCTCAGAGTCATCTGTCCAGGCCCTTAGGGAAGCTATCTGCCCTCCACACCCCCCCCCCATTCAGATGTTAAAGGGGAGCCTCCAAAGGAAGAGTTTTACCTACAACTTTCTGAGCCTCTCTTTCTTTCTTTAGCAGGAGGGGTGGGAATGGATAATTTATTGTACTGAGATTTGTTCTTGGTTCCTGTTTATAACTAAAATAAATTAAGTTACTGGACTGGTGGATGTAGATGGTGATATTTCTGTCCACACTTGGGATCCCAGTCCATGGCTTCTTTTCCAGGTGAATTCTCCTACCCTACTACACTCCATGACTTTATCTGTGTGTAGCCTGCTGGTCCCACAGAGGATCTGAAATGGGCCTCAGTGAATTAGTTGGCAACTCTTAATGTGGGACCTAATTATAGGCTTTATTTACTCTCTACGTGCCTCAACTCCAGGGATTGCCTCAATCACTGCCCTAGAACAAGGACTAGCTGCCCACCCCCTCTCCCCGCCGCCCGCCCCTGAAAAGGTCTTGATAGTAAATATATTAGGTTTGTGGGTTTTGTCACAACTACTCAACCCTGCAATAATTACTCAACTCTGTTGTTGTAGATCAAAAGCAGCTATAGACCATACATAAACAAAAAGATGTCCAACACAATTCACACAAACAGACTGCAGGACCAGATTTGGTCCTCTGGCTATAGTTTGTTGACCCCTGTCCCACACTTTGAGGTCACCTCTGTGTTGGGGTTTTCTTTTATATATATATATAAATATATTTTTATTGATTTCAGAGAAGAAGGGAGGGAGAGAGAGATGGAAACAGCAATGATGAGAATCATTGATTGGCTGCCTCTTGCACGCCCCACACAGGGGATCGAGCCCGTAACCCAGGCATGTGCCCTTGCCTGGAATCGAACCTGGGACCCTTTATTCTGCAGGCTGATGCTCTATCCACTGAGCCAAACCGGCAAGGGCATGTTTTGGGGTTTTCAAGTCCTGAAGGTATCTCATCGTTGAACCTGCACCCAAAAGAGCAGGTGCTTTTCTCTCTGGCTCCAAATCAGAGAACTTGGGAGGTAGATACAAGACTAATGGGAAACATATAAAAGGGATTCCTGTGCTCAAAAGGGAATTTTTTTTTGCTCTGGAAACCAGCAAAACCAGCATGCCCTCCCACTGAATTATTTGCATATGTATTTTGTCCTTCCTTATTCATAGCTCTTCTGCATTTAATTTTAATCTTAGTGAAATAATTCCTTTATCTTTTAGAAGAAACCATAACTAGGGAAAAGATAATGTCTTTTATTCCAATCTTTCTATTCCTAGCCTGATATTTTTTAAAACAAACCATTATCTTTCACTTGGAAAAAGGATATGCACCACACATTCAGAACATTACAAGTGACTGCTTATGGGGTTGCAAGATGCTGATTCTAACAGGTCATCTCCTTGGCCAAGGAATGTACAACTAGAATGTAGAATGTAGAGAAGTACATTATACATTCTAGGCCAGTAATTTTCAACTGGTATGTCACAATAATTTTTTAAATTGATTATTTAGAGAGAGAGAGAGAGGAGGGGGGGGGATATCAGTTGCCTCCCATACACACCCCAAATGGGTATCGAACCTGCAACCTAGGTATGTGCCCTTAATGGGAATTGAACCCATGGCCTTTGGAGTAAGGGATGCGATGATGCTCCAACCAACTGAGCTATCTGGCCAGAGTCTCAAGAATTTTTTAAACATGCAATACTTGACTATTTAGTCAGGGGCACTGACCTCTTTTTCCTTAAATTGTCAAATAAAAAAACTACAACAGCTAACACAGTAACTATCCAGGGTGAATGAATCAAAATTATACCTATTTTTTTTTTGTCAGATGGGCAAATAATATATTTTTTGGTGTGCCACAGAATTTTAGTAATTAGTTTATGTGTGCAATGAGATGAAAAAGGTGGAAAATCTATTGCTCTAGGTAATAGATATATCTGCTGTCCAAATTACTCTCAAAATCAGGTGAAATGATGGTAACACCAGGGCAGTAAGAACATTTTGAGGAGTGTTGGGTTAGGGCAGTACTACATGGCAAAATTTTATGTCCTAAATTTCCACTTGAACATTGAGAATTCTGGGTTTGGAAATTTGATGGAGGCAGGAAGATACCTCATCCTTACTTAGGCACTGACTGTATCTGGTGAGCATATGAGGATAGTGGGGGAGAGAGAGGGATGTAGCTAGAATGGACATAGATTATGAGAGAGAATAATGATAAGGAATATCCAGATGGGAATTTTGCATACTCAGTAAGAGCAAGGAGAATCTCCAATGGAGTCACAGCAAGAATATTTTAGCTTTTTCTGGTTTCCTTCCTCTGTAGTCCTTTTGACTCCTTCTCTCTTTCTAGCTCTCATCTTTCCTCACACATACTCTGTGGCAAACTTAAGCCCCAAACCACAACCTTGAGAAATTCCAAATGGATTTTGTCAGCAAGGCCAACACCCCCTTCCCCCTTCCACACCCCTGCTCCAGGCACACGCTCTGGGCTCAGGCCCAGGCCTGGGGTCAGTGGCAGGAGTGGGAGTGTGCAACCCACAGAGCGGGTGGCTACAATTTCAGCTTTTGCTTAGCTCCAGTGGAAGTCAGAGGGAGGGAGAAAGACTGATGAACTCTAAGTCAGGTCTCTGCCTCCTTCAGCTCTAGATGAGCTCTTCTCCCTTAGCCTTTCAAGTGGTTGGGAAGCTGGAGAGTGGCAGTGATTGGCTAGTTGCCAACTGGGCAGCAATCCTCCTATCTTTGCACTTGTTTGCTCCATGGGAAGCACCCAGTGATGCTGCAACAGACATTTTCTTCTTGAGACTCCAAAGGAGTAAAGGACAGAAGAGCTGGGAGATTCTCTAGTTCCATTCATCAGTTCTGACTCAAATACCATGGTACTTGCTGCTTACCATTTCCATCCTTCTGTCACACCTGGGACCCAACCTTGAGAGGATCTGAAGTTTTGGGCAGTACCACTGACAAGTTCCACCTCCTATGAGAATGCCACAAGTCACGTTAGTGTCATTGGGTATTAGAGAAAGGGTATTTTTTTTTTAAAGTCTTTTTTTTAAAATATATTTTATTGATTTTTCACAGAGAGGAAGGGAGAGGGATAGTTAGAAACATCGATGAGAGAGAAACATCGGTCAGCTGCCTCTTGCACACCTCCTGCTGGGGATGTGCCTGCAACCAAGGTACATGCCCTTGACCGGAATCGAACCTGGGACCTTTCAGTCCATAGGCCGATGCTCTATCCACTGAGCCAAACCAGTTAGGGCAGAGAAAGGGTTTTTCAAGAATAATTTTTGTGATCAGTGTGGGTGGGGGCATAACCTGGTGGGGTGTTTCTAGAAAATTCTAGGAAAAGAAATGGAAAAAGTAAAGTAATTATGTGGAAGTATCACATGACCCACTCTAGGAGTCTGTAATAACACTGGAGGAGTCTTCTTAAAATATAAAACGTAGCAGGGTAAGAGCCCTTAAGGGCAACAGCTCAGGACAGATAGAACTCTTAGTTATAAACATGCTCCTTGTTATCCATCTCATCCCTCACCACCTTAAAGTAGGATCCTCTTGTCTTCACATTCTGGGTCAGGTTATTCTCTAGGTTAAAATATGGAAGAAAACAGACTGGGATATGAGGAAGAGACTGGTGAATGCATACACCAGGGATCGATGGGGTAGGAGGTAGACACAGTGTGGCTATCTACCAGCCTACTCCTTCTTGGCAGGATACAAGAAACAAGGCCCCAAATCCAGAAAAGCAAGTTTTGGCTCAGGGCTTAGGGAAGAGCCGTGTGTTCTCTTATACAGCTGTCAATGTAGAGCGAGGGCTCTTAAAGAACCTTCTTCTGTTCTTAGCATTGCTAGTGCCTTTCTTTGAGGACAGTCTTGAGTGTTCCAACACAACCCTGCAGGTGCCGAAATGAGTGCGAGGGAAGTGGGGGTGGGCAGGAATAGAGGAACATGGATGCAAAGTCTCTCACTTTCCTTGGGGTGCTAAAATTCATAACCACCCCGGTACACTTCCTCAAACCACATCTCAGCCTTCAACATTCCAGCTTCCTAGCAGGCCCAGAGTTCAGATGTTTCCTTCGGTCTCTTAAATTCATCACTCTCCCTTCTCTCCCCTATGGGGAAAGCTATCTTGATTCCGAGCCCTGAATAACGAAGTGCTGAGCAGTAACACGGGTGTCGGGGCGCTCTCAGGGGGATGCTGTAGCCCTGGTTAGTCCAGATGAAGCCGGGGGAGTTAGGCGGCCCCAGCAAGGCCTCGTCACTCACACCCTGCTCCTGGCCTTGCCCAAGGTGCCCCAGGCTCTCAGCTCAACCCGTCTCCAGTGTGGCCAGCACGCGGCCCCAGTCCTTAAATTTCAGGTGTGGCCCTGGAGCTTTGTATTGTCACCACAGTCCTCGCTGCTTCATCCTCATTCCCTGGCTCCTGCTTCCACTGCCCACGGCCTTCGGGCCCCCCTCGCCCCCGCCCGGGCGTCAGTTCTAACACCCGGATGCCTCCGCAGCAGCCGCTGCCATGGTGATGGCTCTCGCGAGAACTGCCGCTCGCTGCCACGCAGTTCTCGCGCGATCGGGGAGGTGGGAAGTATCCCGGTCTGGGGGTGGGGTGCGCCGCACAGCCCTTGTCGCTGTCGTGGCTTCCGGTGCTAGGTAGAGGGGAGGAAGGAGGGAGTCGGGGAGCGGGGCCAGGGGAGCAGCGGCGTTGAAATCGGCTGGGGGAGCCGGAGGGAGCCGAGCGGGAGCCGAGCGGAACCTGCGGGGGCGGAGGCGGCGGCCGCAGCGGCAGAGCTGGGAGCAGGAACAGGTGAGGGGCTGCGGAGGGAAGGCGGTCCGGTAGAGGAGAGGCTTGGGGTGGGGGCTGAGGACATGGAGCCCCCTGCCGGGCACTGCCTGGCTTTGGGCTGTGTGGTCCTTCCCACCCGGGAGCTCGCAAAGGGGACGCGGGGCCACTCTCACGCCTGCTCCCGCATTTGAAGGACGCGGAGCTGAGGTGGGGGTGGGGGTGGGGGGCACTTACGCATTTGTCCTCCGCCTCGCACAAGGGGGCGACCTGGATTGCCATTAGGTACCCCTCGCCTGCAGAAGGTGGGCTTTGGAGAAGTCGGGATTGAGGAGGAGGAAGGCAGTCCGGGGAGAGGTGATGCGGGGGCGGTGATGGCTGTTTTGTATCCTTTCCTGTTAAAGGGCTAGGGATTGCTGCTATTTTTCCCCACCCCCTCTTCCCCTCTACCTTAGTAATGGGAGACCAGAGAGAAGCCTTGCTGTGGTGACACCCCTCCCCTTGTGGGGTAGGGGTGCGAAAGGGGTTTAGGGAGTAGCCCGCAGGACAGGCTAGAGGATCACCCCTATTCTGGTGGAGGTTGCGCTTTCGGGTCTTGGGAACTGCACGTTGGGAGAGGGCAGCTGGTGGGGAGCGGGGGGGAGGGGGGGGGAGGAGAGTAGGCAGAGGGGGAGGGGATCTGTTCTTGCTTCGGAGAGAGAGAGGTGGTGCCTTCCTCCCCCAGGCGAAGCGGGGGCGGTCTCACTGGAGAAAGGAACGTCTGGTCGCTGGCTCTGAGTTTGTGTCTTCCAATCCGCTTTCTTTCTTTAGGAAGTACCAGGATTCCCGGAACAGAAAATGGAGGCATTGCTTACACCTATGTTTGAGAAAAGGAGGGGGACGTGGAGTTCCCTGTTAAAACAGGCCTCTTGATTAGCAAAGTGGTGGCTCGTCTTTTGGGGGAGTTCCCTTCCTTCTGGGTTGTATTACTGCCAGACTTTCTCTGGCCAGGCCCGGAGGAGTGTGGTATGTGGTCAGGAGTGAGAAGAAATAGTGAGGTCATCCGGGTGCAGGAGAAGAGAAACTTAAAACCTGTCTCTACTGCTGTTGGATTGGGTCACCCCTGGTCTATGGCATGAAAGTTTTATTGGTTGGAGATCTGCTGCAGGAGTCTGATTGCCTGGGTCAGTGCGACAGGACAGAATCTAGTCCCCACATACTCCCTTCCTTGTCCTTAATTTGCTGCCATTTTGCCTTGAGCTTGTTGGGGTGTCTCCACATGCTATGACTGGAGTGGGGCAGTGAATTGGTCATTGCCTGTTAGACTTGAGTTTGAATAACATGTCTGTAAAAGCTCATTCTAATAAAGAAGCTGATCCATTGGGTTTGCCTTTTTATAGAATGAATCATTAACCTTGGATTCATCTGGGAAGGGGCCCCATGGATCACACATTCATATGCTTCCTGTCTTCCAGCATAGAATTATTACTTTGCACAGTCAACATTTTTATGTGCAAGTCTTGCTTTTCTAAAGAGACTACGCTTTTTGAATGCAGGATTTGGCGCTCATCTTGTGTCTCCCACAAGGTCTTTGCACACAGTGGGCACTCATGAGAATAGAGGATGTGAATGGATAGAACTCAACAAGCTTTTTTACCACAGTTTAAGGAGAAAGGGTTGGCTTGGCTGTCAGGGAGAGTGCCTGGAGATAGCTGAGTGAAGGTACAAAGGCCTTTAGCCTTTGTAATAAGAAGTCTTGATCTCGCCCTAGCCAGTTTGGCTCAGTGGATAGAGCATCAGCCTATGGACTGAAGGGTCCCGGGTTTGATTCTGGTCAAGGGCATATGCCTGGGTTGTGGGCTCAATCCCCAGTAGGGGGTGTGCAGGAATTAGCTGATCAGCGATTCTGTCATCATTGATGTTTCTATCTCTCTCTCCCGCTCCCTTCCTCTGAAATAAATAAAAATATATTTTAAAAAAAGTCTTGATCTCCCCACCTTCCTAAGAAGCACAAAAGTGGCATGGATAATGGAAAGTAAGACCCACCCTTCCCCCCCGCAAAAAAATTACTAGAGCACAGAATCATTATTTATCTGAAATCCAAGATCTTTTGCTCCCCCCTTTTGGGCAAAGGGTTCTCTCCATTAGCTGTAAGTCCTTCAGAGTATTGTCTGCAAATTGGGATCCTGGAGATTATGGAGGAGGGAATCAATGAATGTATGTGGTGCCTGGCACAGAATTGGTGCCAGTGAATCGTAGCTGCTATTATTAAACTGAATGCATATATAAAAGGCAGGCAGACAGCAGGCTGGAAATACTGGAAGTGAAGTCTTAAGTGCACAAAGGGTGATATTGTGTGTGTGTTCATTTCTGCTACTCTCTTCCACTGGAGTCATAAGAGGAAATGGACTCAGGATAGTGGGCGGGATTTATTGGTTAGAAGAAGGAACTTCTTTAAAACCAGGTTTTTAAAACTGAGTAAATAACAGGGAAATTGTGGAATCTGCTTCTCTATATACCTTTACAAATGGATGCCAAGAGGCCTGAGACTCAAAGTGTAGAGCAGTGTTTGGTTTTCGTAATCATTTTCATTGCAGGTGAATTTAGAAGCAAAATAGTACAGTAATTAAGAGTGTGGAATTTGGAATCAGACAAAATTGGGTTCAAATCTTGCCTCTACTATTACTAGTTGTATGATTTTCGTGAAATTATTTGTCCTCTTTTTGTTTCATTTTCCTCATCTGTAAAGAGTATGATGATAGTACCTACTTCATAGAGTTGGTATGAGAATTAAATGAGATAATACACATAAAGCACTTATGCATATTATTAGTATTGTGCAAAGAACATAGTATGCCCCAAATAAATGTTAACTGCTATTAATAATCATCATCACAATGGTAATAATAATATGAGCAGTTAGGGCTGCCTTAAAGGTTTACAGAAGAATAACTTACCACCTGAGGTGCCTGTAGAGGGATGATTGTTACCATGACTTTCTGTGCTGGTTGTAGGTTTATGAGCAGTGAAATCTTTTTTCAGCATCAGCTTCACAGAGGCAGCTCCTGCTGCCTGAGTGGGAGGTGAAGCTGGAGCAAGGCAGGTCCCTGAGCCATCAGCTTGTGTGAGGATGTGGGGGCTCAAGAATAGTGTTTATGCCCTAGCCGATTTGGCTTAGTGGATAGAGCATTGGCCCTCAGACTGAAGGGTCCTGGATTTGATTCTAGTCCAGGGTTTGATTATGGTTTAGGACTCATACCTCGGTTGCCGGTTGTAGGCTGTGGTTTTAGGCTCTATCATGATCCTCCGCCCTAGCCCTGTCAGGGTAGGAGGGAGGCAATCAATCAATTTATTTCTCTCACATCCATGTTTCTCTTTCTCTGTCTCTCCCCCTCCCTTCCACTCTCTGAAAATCAATGGAAAAATATCCTTGGGTGAGCATTAACAACAACAAAAAAGAACAGTGTTTAATGTTTAAAAAATCATCATGACTCTGAGATAATGGTTGACTCTCCCATAAAGGTGCACCCTGATTGACTTAGGTCAGGATTTAGATTTCTGGGTCCCATTGTTTTAGGTCTTGATGAGCATTTCAGCATCATCCATTTTCTGGGCCACTTTTCATTTAGCCCTATCTCCTTTATTTTTTTTTATTTAAAAAATATTTTTATTGGTTTCAGAGAGGGAGAGAGATAGAAACATCAATGATGAGAGAGAACCATTGATCAGTGGCCTCTTGCACACCCCTACTGGGGATTGAGCCAGAAACCTGGGCATATGCCCTTGACCAGAATCGAACCCAGACCCTTCAGTCCTTAGGCCCACCCACACTCTATCCTCTGAGCCAAACTGGCTAGGGCTAGTCCTATCTTCTTTAAATGTCTGTCTCTCAGTCTGTTTCAGAATGTACTGTATTAAGGTCCAGAGTTATGTTATCTGTGTAATTCCGTCTACTATACTGTTTCCAACATCTGTCACAAATATAGGTAGAGTGCCAATAAAGCTTTTTAAAAAATATATTTTTATTGGTTTCAGAGAGGAAGTGGGGGAGAGAGAGAGAGAGAGGGAGAGAGAAAGAGAGAAATATCAGTGATGAGAGAGAATCATTGATCGGTTGCCTCCTGCACACCCGCTCCTGAGGATGGAGCCCACAGCTGGGCATGTGCCCCTGACCAGAATCGAACCTGGGACCTTCAGTCTGCAGGCTGATGTTCTAGCATTGAACCAAACCAGCAAGGGCTCGATAAAGCTTTTTGATAATGAAAAGATTTTTTTTTGAGAGAGAGAGATATGTTGTTTCATTTATTTATGTACTCATTGGTTGATTTTTGTATGTACCCTGACCAGGGATTGAACCCACAACCTTGGCGTATGGGGACCCTGCTCTAATCCAGTGGTCACCAACCTTTCGGACCTCACGGACCACCAGTGGTTTCACGGACCACCGATTGGTGACCATTGCTCTAATCAACTGAGCTACCTAGCCAGGCCCCCCCACATTAAAAAAATATGTTTTTATTGATTTCAGAGAGGAAGGGAGAGGGAGAGAGAGAGAGAAATATCAATGATGAGAGAGGATCATTGATTGGCTGCCTATTGCACACACCCCACCAGGGACTGAGTCCGCAACCCAGCCATGTGCCCTGACTGGGAATTGAACTGTGACCTCCTGGTTTATAGGTCGACACTCAACCACTGAGCCACACCAGCCCCTCCTCCCCCACATTTTTTTAAAGCAATCAAAGGTTACCTTATGTAAAATCTTATTTGAAGTCTGATACATAAAATGGGTAAAAGTAGAGCTGCTCTGGTGGTGGTGGAGAGTTAGGAGCATAATTAGAGCCTCTTATATGGTTTCTCCCTCCAGGCAGCCTCTGAATCCCATCCATGGAATCCTAGGGATCTGAGAAGAAAGAAACCACTTCTTCACTTTGTCAGATCATGAAAAGGATTGGGGATTACCTAAAGAATATCTTCCTCATCCTCACAGATGTTTTGCCACCATCAGTAGTACTGTGCTTTTCAACAACAAGCATGTTAAATCA